GCGTAACAATGGGCGCTCCATTATTGTTATACTTATATAATTATCTTTTATTCTAAGTTATTTTCATTGTTGCGACCTTTGTTCGAAACAAAGCTCGTAAAATTACACGTTATCGGTAACGTTACGTCATGTTAAGATGACGTGACATGACAATGACGTCACTTAGATAAACATCCCCATAGATACTAAACAAAGAAAACAAACGAAGCAAACAAGATGGAAGAGACAAACATAAGGACGAAAAATCAAAATTTCTGCTTGATAACATGAGTTATTTCTCACAGATTAAGTACATTTTAGGCTACGAAGAGCCTCCAAAACAGAGCAAGTGGGAACAGTACTTCAACGAAATTATTTTAATTTGTTGCTCGGTATTTTTGTTGGTTATAGGCCTACTGATAGTATGGTTTAGGCGCAGGCGGAGGCGTACACCAAGTGAGTAGCATTGGACGCATGACATTGTTTTTTTCCTTTATTGCAATCATTTTATATTAAGCATCGAAATGACCATCCTTATTACAGGGGGGTGGGGGTGGAGTTTTCCGTTTATTTATTTTTAGTATAAATTTCGATGTATTTAATTAAGTAACCATCTAATTATGCTTTCATTTTCAGAATTAGATCATATACAAAAATATTTTTTGCACGAGTAATAAGTGCGCCCTCATATATATGTATAACATATCATTAGCATTTTAAGTTTACATGCACATGGGCTAAAAATCAAAATGCTTAAATTATTTTTAAATATTATTTTTGGATGAATCTAGCTCCAGAAGAACTGCACAGCGAGAAACATAGTCTAAAAACGCCAAATTGTGATAAAACAGAGCACATTCAACAGGACAAGGAAAAAGAGGTACGAGAACCAATTCGATACAAATAGTATCCCATACATCTTACTTCAACTTATACTGTGGTGGTCTAAATATCAGTAGTTGTTCAATGATTAAATTATTTATTACTTTTAATGTTGATGCCTGGCATATTTACATGTAGGCTACATCTTTTAGACTGGACGCTTTTAAGGGTCCGTTGTTGTTTTTTAATAGGGTGTTCGGACCAAGAGTCACATAAATTCAACACAGCTAATGGATATAAATAATTTATAACATAATTGATAACAAGAGAAAAAAGAGAAAAAATACCTTTTGCAGCAAAAAGAAAAAAATATCGGTACATGCTTGTAGGTTTTGGCCGTATCACACTTTGGTGCCTTTTGATTTTGATCTATTGAAAGTCTGTTCCTAAAGTAATCAGATCACGCATACAAAAAATAAACGAAACCGCAATAAAAAAAATCCTTTTAATATTAAAACAGGAAGGGCCATCAAAATCATCTGTTCTTTTTTAAATTTTGTATAGGCATTTTATCATTATATCATTATATCATTACCATTATATATTCAGATCGGATATACATTGTTGTGTTACAGGAAGCCGAACTTCAACAGGCGAGCGGTAAAAGGGAGTTGATAGAAACTCACCAGCCCGTAGAACAGATAAAGAATCCAAGAGACATAATTTCTGAATACAACGCACAACAGATACCAAATGCGGCTATCGAAATCAGCTCTGTAAAGGTTTTTTTAAGACAATCTACTGTAAACGGACATCATCGGTCTAGTCTGAAAAAACAGTGGATAATAATGCAAGAAAGACCTGATGACATCAAAGGTCAGGGAAGACTAGAAGGTCAAATCAAAGCACAAGGTCAAGGGCAAGATTCTTCAATAGCGAGAAAACCGACAAAACCTCCCGTTCCCGTTATAAAACGTCGACGGTCGACAATCTCTAATAATTATTACGCTTAGATCACCGTTCGTTTTGACCCAAAAACATTGTTTTAGAGATGTAAGACAAAAATTACAACATCAATTTTTCATTCAAGATCGTGTAGACGTGATACTGATTTAATAAAAATATTATGTTAACAGTAATTGTCGAACGTTTTCTTTCCTATTTTCATTATTAATAAAAGTTTTTATCATTATACCTGCTTTATTGTCTGTTCATTTGTTTCTTCTTGTTTTTTACTGATAGATCATCATGAAAATAAAATACGCTTCTGCTTCATAAAAAGTCCTACTTATCAAGCGCTCTTTTTTCTACATAAAAAGCATTGCTGTTAGTTTTCCATTATTTTTAACAAATATTTTAGACGGAATAAAACGATTTATGCGAGGACCGGGAGTCGAAAGCGGATCGACTGCTAGGAAGGCAACCATGGTAACCGTTACACCATCCTCGCCGCTTAAATGGATTTTTGAGCGGTATTTTGAAACCGCAACGCATCGCCATGAGAACATCCATTAACGGTTGTAAAATGTCTCTCTTAAGGGTGTGTTAACATACCGTAGACAACTACAGCATTTACCAGAAGTGTGAATAGGCCTACTTCAACATTTTTTTCTGATCACGCGTTGCAGTCATGTATATTTGCTGACCCGGTACTCATTTCGAATGGGAATTTTACTAAAATTTGGACAAAAAACTATGTTAGATGACAAACATGTGTTCACATAACCCTGTACTGCATTGTAACGCTCATGCTTGAAGTTTTTTTGGTAAATCCAATACTATTTTATTTTTCTCTCTCTTTTATTTCCCTGCCTTATGCTGTTCTTATTATTTTATTTTATTTTATTTATTTATTTATTTATTTATTATAATTATTTTTTGTGCATGAACGATTCAGTTCTCTTAAGTTAATATTGTACGTGCTTTAAAGTCTGTTAGTTTGTGCTCTAATGCGATAATTTACGAAGTGGTGCATTCGCATCATAATGCCGCGCAATCATGGCCCAACTAACACAATGAATTCGAACATTGGTCATACTAATAGCCAACCCTGACAAGATTATTGACAATTGATGTTATTTCAGTATCTGTTTATATTACGCTTTTATACCTTTGGTGCAAGACGCATGTTGGGAGAGAAAATAATATTTCAGCTCCTTTGGTTATTCATTTTATTGGAACATAAATTACGGTTATGCAAATATGTATACTTCATGCTCAAATCTATTAGATTATATTTATGTAACTTGTATCCACTCCCAAGTGATTATTATCGGTTTTGGCGTAGCTTCAGGTCAATATATTTTATCATAGCTGGCTTCGGGTCGCGCGAGTGGGACACGATATATTACTCTCACCCTATGCCACTAAACGGCTTTTTTCATTAATGAGGTCTCGTTCAACAGGTTATCCTCAATTAAGAAGCCTCTTTAGAAACGACTATCGTTCTGCTTTCAGTATGGCTACAAAGCCTTATCGCTGCCACAAAAGCTGTCACACGTTTCAGCATTCGATCATGAATGGCGGGACAAAGAGGAAAGTCAACACACTCGTCAGCTTGTTGAAAAAGTCAATAAACATTTATGTGTTCAATAAATCGTTTATGATATGCGCTGCTTTTAAACGCAGGTGTCACCGCCTGGTTTTGTAGAGAGTGGAAATTAAGTTTACTGTTCGATTAGAAGCACTTGATCTTTTTTTAAAAAATAGTAATGACATTTTAAAAAATCAGTAATGTGACTTTTCAGTGTGTACGAGTTTAAAATAAACTCTGATCAATGGTGGGATCAGCAAGTGAAGTGGATGTGTGTCAATAAAGCCAAGGTGAGCAGGCAGCAGAATGCAAGGAAAGTTTCGCCCTTAACTAATGCAGAAACACTTGGTTGTTTAGCCTTCGGTTTTGTCAACCACTTCTCCCCACTCTAATTACTCGCTTCAGCCATTATGAACAAACATTCCCCTTGCTATTAAACAGCACCGAGGACAATCGCTTCGACTGTCAATGCACCGCAATGTCAATTTACATTACTTCCATGCCCGCTGGCCCCTCAATATTATGACATATCGGTTGCAGTTTACTTATGATTTACACTATTGCTGTGTTGGAGACGCTGATGCGAAAAAATCGGACAAGAATTTGAGAAGTTTTATCACAAAGATGAGGCAATATTTGCAAACGGGACTAGACTAACCTGAAAGGGGAGTAACGAAAATAGGAAATGTTATTTGGGTGATGTTTTTATTGGGAACCGAAAACGCTCACTTCGACAGTTTACTGAAACGGGAGACATTCATGCCACTGTCACGTCAGTGACGGCAAAAGACTGGGACTCACTCATGACATTGCTATGAGACGCTGGCGTAGCGTAGCAGCGTGCTTTTACCGTACAGACCAACGGCTGCGTAATCGTACTGAGATGTTATCCTCTCTTCTCGAACTGATTGACGACCGCGTCATTTAATCTCTATTGATTTTCAGTATTACCTATGTGTGTGTGGGCAAAACACTGCTTTGACTTTACAAGTGACCCCACGGACCAAGACCAAGAAAGTCATAGCTACTCGAAACAAGTTGTGATATAATACCTGCAATATAAAGTTGATGATTAACCAACGTTGTAACAAGGGAAAAACGACAGAACCCATTGGAACTGATCACGCTCTCACAGCAAAAATACAAGGATTCGGTTTTCATTCAAATAACGATGGGCGCTGAATGATCAATGCATATTGATATCTGAATTGCAAATTCAAGCGTTAGGATAAGCTCAGTAAAACGCCCTGGCGGAAAGAACAGCAGAAAATAGTTATAATTGCTTTCCGTTGTATTCCATGCGAAAAAAAGGAAGCGCCATATCGTCTAGCTATTATGACGATATAGGATAACGCACATGTAACTTTGAAGGCTTCAGTTGAACCATCTCCGCTTTCCCGGATTCGCAGGAAAAGACACAAATAAACGTCGCTTAAAATATGGGCAAGGCATAGGAAAGCTCTGTATATCTTTCTACATTTTGCAAGATTATCATACATGCATATACCTAGCTCAAATGTGTATTTATTTGACCTGAGAGACCCTCGGACACAATAAACGCTAAACACTGAGGCGGTAAGAACAGTCAGTGGAAGCCAAAATAATTCCAAATGGTGTCATCAAAACTTCAGAGAATCATTCGCAAACAGCTGTGACAGTAGGAGAAAAGGTCGCCAGGGTGCCATTTTGATAATAACTCCCTGAGAAACTGCCACTCGTTATCAGAATTTATCAAGATACTGCGATTTATACCCCAGCGGAGATATCGAAGAAACTAGTCGATAGCGTTCAAATCATGACGACGGAGGATAAACACCCGAAAACGAAACACTGCAACGGGCTGCTGTTTGAATGTAGACATACCAACAGTTTAATTTTAAGTAGAAATATATGAAACCTGCCGTAGAGTGAGAAACAAAAAGGAGCTATCACAGACGGCTAGCTAGCTAAGTTAGTACCGGGTGGAAAATCACTGAGACGACTCTTTTTGGGAAACTCAAGAGACGGTACACCGTCACCACCACAAATGGCCAGGATGCCATTCACGAACTTTGAGGACTTGAACAAGGCTGCTAATTTTAAATTCAAGGAGGCCATGATGAACGAACGGAGCAAACGATGGAGCAAGGTGGGATATTTTCTTTTCTCTCTCTCTTTCTCTCTCTCTCTCTCTCTCTCTCTCTCTCCAATAATTTCGAAACTTCTGTTATAAATGTCACATTGTAAATTTCATTGTCATGAGTAAAATATATATATTTCATTTGGATTCAGTATTATATTATTTATTACAAGTAATTATAATTGATAAGTTAACTAACGGTTGTTTCAATAGCAGGCAGTGGCGACTGACATCCAACCTTCCATTTTAAAATACACTAAAGAAACATTTGAAATGTACCTTTATATATACACTTGAATACACTGTATATTATTTTGTGGCTATAGACTAGTCATTCGCGTGACCAATTTCATGTTTGAATGCATATGCAAAGTGTCCCAAAAGGACTAGTCATTTCTCTGTTGCTATGACCAACTTCTGTAATCATTAGTAAAATATAAATTTGTCATTATGAAAGAGGACTTAGCAAACGCTTAAAGCGGCCGTGTGTGTACACGAGTCGGATTAATCGGATTTGCTTTCGATTAACCTTAGTTTTACGAAACTGTTCAATCATACTGCAGGCTCTGTGTCTGACGTTAAAACGAAATGCAAACATGAAGAAGTGTGCCATTATATACAAGTTGCAGTTGATCTGTGCTTATATTGTCTTATTTTTTAACTAGAGTTGAAGCTTTTTGCGATTTAGGGTTCACATTTAGTCGGTCTAATCATAACGATACGCCTGACAGATTTTAAATCGAGCCCTGTCTATATGCTGTCTTTTTTATCATTATTATTATTTCATGCAACCGTTAGAATATCAATACCCCAATCTGCATTGCACGCAGCGGAGCATAGTGAACTTATCGATATCACACAGCTGTAGAGTTTAGATCGCGTAAATTATTCATATTTAGTACTAGAGAAGGGCAACCTGTCTTTTTGGCATTTCTGTCTGATAATTTCGAATGCTGAATGCTTCCTTATTATTATTAATAGCTTGAGTTCACGGGATTTGTGCTCGACGAGATGTAGGATTTGGTCAATTAAAAAACGCAATCATTCCAGCACTGATTTCAGCGAAACAAAGAATATAACTGTATAGTGTACATATCATTGAGCAAAACGACTTCCACTCTCTCTCTCTCTCTCTCTCTCTCTCTCTCTCTCTCTCACGCACACACACACACACACACACACACACACTCTTTCTTAAAATGGAAAGAAACAAGCTACTCAAATATGGTATTCGGACAGTGTATCGGCTTTTCGTAATATGTAATTACTAATGCACAGCACATCAATTTGCTTGCTTGAAATAATTTGAAAAGACAGGACCCGCTTAAATCGTTGACAGGAAAGTAAAGTTTGGCAGAGTCAACACCGCATGTGTGTACACCTGATGGCTCGCTCCGCAAAATGTCAAGGGTCAGCTCACAAAATTGTGGTTACTTTCTAATTTAAATGAACACCTTGCTGTGATAATGGCAACATTGAGGTAAACACCCTTTGGTAACTATAACCGTTGCAATACTAGATGATTTGCTTTGTGAAACTCCTCATTTCCAAAGTTAATATTATAGCAGGAAAAAAAAAAGAACGAACCTCGTCGCGCCCCCCCCCCCCAAAAAAAAATACCCTTAAATATTGCGGTTAAGTTTTTCTCATAATATCTGTAAAAAAAGAAATAAGGAGTCAATATGATATGCTCTTGGCATATAATTACTTTTGTTAAGTACGTAGTTAAATGCTTTAAAAGTGTATATGAACCGAGTGTCGATTCATGCTATTCATTACTTACTGCTATGAGTTCGTGATCTATACGTTACACGTAATTGGCACAATATGTGTTTAAATTTCAGAATGATTTCAGTATTATCTTTCAGGAAAACTCTATTGATCAGTATTGGTCTCCTGTAACACTCTTGATCCTTCCTTATTCAAGTCAAAATTTTATTTTTCGTTCTAGGCGGCACAGAATTATCGCAGTTTGCTGAGTCTGATAAGTCTGGAAAATTTCCCGCCTAACTATGAGCCTCCTGACGGTTACGGCATGCTGGTGAATATTATAATTGGATAATTAATCTTTAACATTTCGATATCATTATTTTTCACTTTGGTTTGACATTTACTCATTTAATTGTGCTTTGTATTAAAACGCATATTCATTTTATGCATTCGAAATTGAATCTTACAATGTTAATCGTTGTCATCTCATCAATTTAAATTCAGTTGATAATTTATTTTCAATCAGTCCCGTATAACTGAACCGAATTTTATGATTGCGGTTTGATGAAGGCGTGTTATCATTTTAGCTCTATGAACTGTACTACAGTCTCGGCTGGGCACTACAGCAAGTTGGAGAGCACACCAAAGCTGTAAAAGCCTATACCAAGTCCATCAACAGTGTCAGTATTCCTAAGGTAAGTGCGCACAGTGTGGTAGTTGTGACGCATCACAATACGTCCGAGAACACCCAAGAACACCCGAGCGCTCCAAAAGTAGTAACTAAATGAAATAGATTAAAGCGGGGTTAAGTAGGAATAAACAAAATGACAAACAAATGATTGGCTATATAGATGAATGAATGAATGAATCAATCAATCAATCAATCAATCAATAAAAGTAAAGATTCATTGAGTAATTGGCAGGCAAATTTCATCGATGCCATCGTTTGTCCAGTTTGCATGTCTAATGACGGGGTAGTAGTACCTCTACGTTGTTAAATACTGTAAGGACTACGGGTTCAAGTTTAGACATATATGTTGTCTTATGTTTCAGAACGGCTGTTTGGCGGGATGTCATTCCAACTCGTGCCTTATGACGCCCGTGCATGCCAAACGAGCATTTGCTTATGCAAAATCAGGTAAGCCCAGGCGAGACTGACCGGTTGGTTAACGGGGGGCGTCTCGATAGTCCGAAGGTTCATTGGTCCGAAGGTTCATTGGTCCGAAAAGTTGTAACATTTTTATCGATTTTTTAATCAAGGGTTCATTGGTCCGAAGGTTCTATTGTGAACATTCGGACCAATGAACCTTCGGACTATTGAACCTTCGGACTATCGCTACGGCCCCGGTTAACGAGGCTTTTTTTGTTTTAAAGCATATTATTTTTAATGAGAAAAGTTACTTTATTTCAGGTTCAGTCGGTGTATGATCAGATCAATATTTCCTTCATGAGCATACATATAGGCCTACGTGCTATTGAAGCTCATACGTTCTATTGACAACATGATTTTTCAAAATAATGCACTTAATAATTTGGTTATTTAATGTGAGTTTTAAAGATATGGCTTGCGTCAAAAATATTCCATTTTATACGATGAACTTTTGAAGATATTGTCCTTTTAGGCACCTGTATTAACATATAAGTACAGGGTAATTGTTGTTATAAATCTGCATCAGATTTTTAGTTATTAAACCTGGTATTGCAGAATACGATAGCATTGAGTTTTGTTATCAATTCTCTGCAGGGGATCTCAAAAATGCACTTAAGGACGCCGAGAAAACAGTCGTGTTGGACAGTCGTAATCCGGTTAGTGCATGTTGAATATTTCCCTTTTCCTTTAAATTACCTTTAATATTGTTTCTCTACGTCGTTCAATCATTGATTTTTTAATACTGGTATTATGCGACCCTTTGTCACAAATGATCGCTTATATACAGTACATAACTACAACGTTCATTTGTAGCTGTTTGTCCGTTACTGTAACAGTAAATTCTGCGAAAATAGATGGTATATAAAACGAATATATGTTTGAAAAGGTAGCCATATGACCTCGAAATTTCGTACAATGACGAGAGATCTTGCATTAAAGAATCAGAATTATATTTTAGAAATAAATTCTGATTACTTTCGTAGGACGTGTACTGCATACGGGCACTTGTGCGAAACAGCCGAGGTGAAGAAGTGCTGGCTCTGCAAGACGTCATCAAGGCACTGAGCTTGAACTCCAATCACATAGCATCTCTCATCATACGAGGAACACTGCAGGCACCCGTGGTAAGTACCATATCTATTTTCAACACTGGCATTAAGTATTCTAAACACGAAATAAAACAAGTATACATTAAACCAATTCCATCATGTTGTTTTGCATTTGTTTAGTGTAGTATTTTTCACTTTAAATATTATTTTGATAAACGCTACTCATTGCTTAATTGGATTTAGTACTTATCCAACTGCACCAGGTACATATGAACAATTAAAGTAAAATGTCCTTGAGTTGTAAATGAAACGAGAAGAAAGGTTATCCAAATCAAGTGACAGGCCAACTTTTAATTTAGATACTATCAGACTGGCCCGGCAGCGAGGCAATGGCGCCAAATAAAGACCACGAGAAAGCCATAAAGATCAATCCTGATAGTCAAAACTTCCTCAGTGTCACAAGTATGGAGCATCCTGACGTCAACAGGTTCTATGACAGGTGAGCTTATGATATCATAACGACCATAAGGACGTCAAATATTATGGAGGTTAAGTACTGACGCCATGAGCTCTTACCGTTCTGACTTGCTTGCAATAATAACACCCTTTAAAAACACAAGTTTCAGTTCTTTTTTTTTTTTTTTGTAATTTTTCTTTTTTGTGTCTGAAACGCTAATAAATGATGATATTCTCTTATTGGTTTTTATTCCAGATTCCTGTACTCTCTAAATGTTCCTCACACCGTCAATGTCATCAATATGATGCCAAAGCACAGGGAAAAATCGAAAGAGGGTAAGGCATATGAATTTCAGAGTCAATCTCAACTTTTGAGGTAAAACGTATAAACTGGGATTATTATGACGTTCTGTTATTCAGCATTATCTAAATGCTTGTTTCTCTCTAGCTTTGAGTGTATTTACATGTAGTATAGTTGGTCGCTCGTAATATTTGATTTTTACGACACGGCGATATAAGTAGTATTTCGCCCCTAACTACAGGGAAATGACTGTATAAATAGGTGTGTTAACTTTGGTTGCGTTCTATCACTTTTTTCGACGACAGCACCCTCCAGTCGTTTGCGGAGGCACTTCCAGCTGCCTGCTATACAGAAATGCCCCAGTGGCTGGTGCATAGCCTGTGCATCTGAACGGCACGGTCAGCATACTTGCCGTACAGCAAAGGGCTATAGTAAGATGACTAATACATGGCATAGTGCATGCTTATGAGTCCTTGACCCTGTTGCATGACCTTGACGTTGAACTTTTGACCTTGACCTGCAATGGTATGAAGGTTTCTCTTTGAGCAATTGCCAAGTGGTCGTTATGTTTGATTCCAAGCAATTTTCATTTGAGAAAATTCATTACACTGTGATTTGTAAGTTGAAAACCTCTTTACAAAGAATGCACCATAGTATAACTTGTACATAGATAATGAATGTTTCACACGAGGAAAATGAGTTTTGCAGAAGATGCATGAACATAAATTATCTATCTTGTTGCACGTTAAAGAAGCACATCTGCAGTTTTTCAACACCTGGCTAACTAAAACCGTTTTAAGATCTAAACCACAAGATGGACGATTTGGCAAGCGCTTAAATCATGCTAAAAATAGCATGTTATTCTCCAGTCAGTTTAACCACTATCTCGTCTTCACAATTTTTAAAGTTAAAATTCACAGCGCGTGGATAAAACTTAACGGAGAGCTGGCGATTTCTGAAGTCCACATTTTAAACACGGTTTTAGTTCTGCGGTCCATGGTGCACAAGGTGCATGTTCGCATGATGACACTGCATGAAGAGACGGTACACAGCGGATCCAGGATCTCAAAACGAAAAATTGATGGGGTGCATAATGTTTTATCTTCCTCCTTCTAAATTAAGAACTTTAATTAACTGCCAACCCTCGCCTGGCAGGGGCGTTGACTGAAACCGAATTTCCTTTACTTTAATCCTGGGTCAGCCACGCCCTGCCACGCCCTGCCCAGCCCCGCTTTGCTCCGCCCCTTTCCTGGATCCGCCTTTTCACAGTTGTAAGTTGTAGTGGCATGGGTGTATTTCATATGCATGTTAGGTTTGTTTTATCCTAGTTACGTGTGATACATCGTTGTTACATGTGATACAACGTTTTACAACACTGTCAATCGTTTTGTGTCCGAGTTTTGAAAATTTTAAGAATGGTACTAGGAGCAAAAAGGGTATTTATTGTCAATATATTTATTGGTGTGTTTATCTTTTTTTTCATTTTCATTGATTTTATTAAATCTTTGGCACATGTTTTGATAATTCATATTGACTGGCCTATTTTAGAACCGATGCCTCATGGCAAGGGATACGAATCTCCCATGAAGTTCTTACATCACCAAACCGAGGGCGCCAAATCTGCTGGTACTCCGACTTCTTTCCGCTGTGGATCAACTACGTCATATACCAGTAGGGCTGCGCAGAGGAGGAAAGAGTATGGAAATAACCTCAGACGACATCTAAGTGAAACTAGACCTAAAACAACTAGTGAAATTTTAGGTAAATATTTTTCACATAATTTCTTGTGTTTCTAAAATAAGCGTGTCATACATGTATCACTTGGCATGCTAACGTTAAGATGTTTATATCTTGGCCAATGCATGATTAATATATTCTACCTTAAAATTCGTGGTCAAAAGGTGTTTAACAAAGTTAAGAAAGTAACGTTTTTTAGATAAACCTGTATGGAAAGATGGAAAATCGTTGTGGTGTACTTATTTTGGTAAATGTGTGATTTTTTTTATTCGACAAGCCAACTTGTACAAAAGCCTACAGCAAAAGCATCAACAAAACCGTCCAATCACGTGTAATGAGACGCGTATGCCCAGACAAACCAGCTTAGACAGTGACACAATTAGGTCCTCGATTTCGCTTGATGACGTCAGTACAAGCGCGTCCAGACAGTTGAAGGAGGTTCGATTGACGTCATCGTCGACATCACAAGCTTCAAGAGACACTCTGCTTACCAAATCGCAAAACGCCGACGGATCTATACCAAGGACAAAAGAGTCAAGGAACTGTCAACTTGGGCTTTCAAGTGGACAACATTTGAGGACGCTCAGTGCGAGTAAGCCAATGACACGATCACAAAGTGCGGGCACGAGGTCGTCATCTAGTCGAAATTCTTCTATTGCAGTATTTCAGCCAATTAATGTTAAGGAAGCCCCACGGATGTATTACAGGTGATATATTTGATAGTAATAAGCAGTACTTTACATGTACTTTTGATAGTAAGATCACGCACTCTTTTTTTTTCTACGTTTACCAGGTTTACCAGTATCTATTTCAAGGCACGTGATTCTGAGCAGCATCTTTGCGTCTTTCTGTTTAAAATTTTTTGAAAATGTTTTATTAGAGGGAGTCTGTAACTGTATATTATTGGAATGCCTATAATATTTTCTCTTTTCTAGGCCTTGGATGGGAGACAAGCTACCTGTAGCTGAGATACCACAACGGAAACCGACACCGGCGTTTTACTGAGTGCAACAAATAAAGACTCGGAGATGTTTATTTTAATGTAGAACACATCCGGGTGCTGTTGCATCTGGAAACGCCTGTACTCGTTAGTGGCAGGGATCGATATGTTTCTCGAGGCTGTGTCTACGGAGAGCAGTGTCCATGTCGATATTAAAATTGCGCCCCAGTTTTACCATTTGACATAATTTTGCACAACTTTGCTATAAAATCATGTTAAAACTGCGGGTCATTTGCGTTTTAAAATATGTCAGTTTAACACATCAAGACACTAAAATGACAGTGCCCTCTTTAAGTGGCGCCCAGGGCACGTGCAATGCCCTAGACACGCCATGTAACGTATGTATGTTGCTACATGAAAGCACTGTTCCTGTTGACTTCTAGAACAGGCCTTCCCAACTACCAGACTCGGCACCTAAGGATCCTGAATTAACCGGTATATCGGACCACGCTACCCGTTTTCAAGGTGTGTGTCAGATCGCATTTCGGAGTATCATACCCCAGAACAAATTTTGTAGCATGACTGCGGGCTCATCCACGCTCGGCTGAACAATCTTAAACTGTACTCTTACTTTAGAGTACTCTATTTTATTGTCTCTATGGGGATATATGGGGACTTTACGACATTCGGTTTGAATGTTTTAACCACTTTTGATAGGGCTTTTTTACATTGCATTAGATTAATGTGGCAGTCTAAGGTGCATCTAGGTGGCTTTCAAATTTATGCACCCGGTTTTAAAATCATATGGTGATTTTACGACAATCGTTTACTATCCAATCAAGGTGACAGCCGAGCATGCCAGGGCTCATCCTGTCGGTGTTCTGGCTGATACTCCGAAATGCGATCTGACACACACCTTGAAAACGGGTAGTGTGGTCCGATATACCGGTTAATTCAGGATCCTTAGGTGCCGAGTCTGGTAGTTGGGTAGGCCTGTAGAACATGCATGTTGCCATTTGGACAAGATTTGATGAACTATTTTTATGCAAATACCAGTTAACTACCGATGAAATTCTTAACGTGTCGGTTCTGCACGACAATTGTCAATCCCGAAAAGCGTTTATATTATGGAGATAAATGTACTTTATTCTCATTTTCCAGCTTCTCCTCTTAAAACCTTTTGCCATGACATGATTTTCTATCAACTTCATACATATTATTATTATATTATTATGATTATATTCGTACATGCAAGTCAAATTTCTGAATCCTATTTAAGTAACCTTCACCATAAAGAGATTTGTAATCATGATATAGCAGACAACATAACTTCGTTTAAATGGCATCTTAAAAATCCACTCAAGCCCAATTATAACAAAACTGTTATATTATATGACATTTATAAAACTCATCTACCTTTAAATTGTTAAAAATTAAATTATATTGATATTTTTTGGAAAAATAGACATATCATGCAACAAACTTAAAAGAATGTATGAACCTAAGTTAAGAGTAAATATAAACTACAAAATACCCTAAAAATCACAGATATGAAAGATTGCAGTAAAGCTAAGAATCAATAGTCTTACCTCATCAAATATCACAATATATTTATGAACATATCAATTCCACACAAATTATCCATACCAGTGTCTAACTGGTAAAATGTGATCACAGAAAATGAAAAACAAAGGTAAACAGATACACCATACATAACATACACATGACTGTGGGGGATAATGACAGGTCTGAAATGTGATATACGTATGTGGAGTATTTTGCAGAAAATTATACTAAACAAACCGTTTGTTTTATGTATACAACAATGGACAATATACATGGACAAGTACATGCACTATACATTGTCAGGAAAATGTGTGTGAAGTATTTAGTATGTGGTAGAGTACAAATGAACATTGTACACTGTACATGTACGAAAATGGAAATTTAGCTAAGTATTGTACTGTATGTAAGCAAATAATATGATAATTCACGACATTCAAAAGGCAAAAATCTGCCAAAAATAAGCTTTTAAAAAAGCATGTATACTGAAAACATTAATATCTGCTATTCAAATAAAAGACTAAAACAATGGTATATATATCATTTTCTTAACTAATATAATATATGTGTGCACATGAAAAAAAAAAAAAAAAAAAAAAAAAAAGCCTCATAACCCTAAATGCATTCCTAATACATTTTCAACTTCAAAAGAAATCTTATCCTATTCTGGCTCTCCTTATAGACTAGATATTCACTCTGGGAAAAATAACTGTCCTTGTACTTGTCCTGTGGAACGGGATTCCCCACAGGTATGGTGATAGTGCGGCCTTCTATTTCCATGGTCTTGTCTTTTTTAGGGTCTGTAATTGAGAATACAATAATTCAAGTTTTGTTCATCAAAATCATATTTTTGTTTTGTTTTCACAATTCTAACATTTTAAATTCTAGCAAACTGCATGGGATAAAAGTATCTGTAGCTATAGTTACATTGTCCAAGACATAAAAACCTCAAATGAGAATATCATCTAAAGTCATAAAATATTATTTTAACAGAAATAATAATAATAATAACATCAACAACATAATATCATTATATTCATTATCAATTCTTTTTGGTAGGCAAGGGCTGAAAATATTAAAATTTGGTGTTTATAGACAATCAATTTTGTATGGAGAATCCATGCCATATTTCTATTCTTTATTTCTTAGGAGGGTGCGAGTAATTGGGAAATGTCACCACGACTTGGCCTCATTCCTAGCACACCAGCAAGTTATACTATATCATACACTTCACTATATGTATACCATACCATACAATGTTGACATATTCAAAGGGGCAGATCCAGAGATATTTTCTGGGTCTTCCAAATTATCTTTGTTGATCCATCCTCCATTTTTGACCCATTTTCCACCAGAAAATATAGATGTCACTAAATGTAAATTAGAAAATTCTGATC